GGAGGACTGGAGGCAAGCGCTGCGGGACCACCAAGAGCAGGCCGACACCATCCTGTCTCTGCGCAGGGCCCTGCGGCAGGGCGAGGCCCTGCACGCCCGGGTACGTGGCCGGCTGGGCTGAGGGACTGCCCCGTGTCCACACAGCCCCTGGGATCCACACCCCCACTTCACCCCTTCCTGGAGGTGCAGGGGCGTGGTCTCCTCCCCCGCTCCTGGCCCGCACTCCCCCAGGATGGCCAGGCCCCGCCTTTGTTCTGGAAGTTCAAGGCCGGCAGGGACCCAGGGGCTCCTGCAGCGGCCCCCTCCCCCCGCCGGGCCTGACCAGGAGCCAGAACGGGCGGGCAAGGGGCCGGGGCGGGCAAGGGGCCGGGGCGGGGGCTAGCTGCCCGCTCCCGCAGTGCGTGGAGGAGAAGGAGATGTTGGAGCTGCAGTGCCTGGCCCTCCGGAAGGACTCCGAGATGTACAAGGACCGCATCGAGGCCGTGCTGCGGCAGATGGAGGAGGTGGCCAGTGAGAGGGACCAGGTAGGCCGCCTCCCACCCTGGGGGCAGAGCGCCTCGCCCTTCGCCCTTTCAGGGGAAGGCGCTTGTCAGAGAGCTCGGGGCAACCGGGAACACCCGGAAGGAGAACCCTTCCCTCGCCGCCAGGAAAACCGCTCCACCGGCGGTCGTACTTCCAGATTCTTTCCGAAGTACATATAGTTCCACGTTTGTCTTACGAAACGGGAAGCTCTCTTGTTTGGCAAATAGGTTTGTTGTTTTTTTTTTTTTTTTTTTTTTGAAGATTTACTGATTTTAGAGAGAGCGAGAGAGCGTGCGTGGGTGAGGGGGCGAGGGAGAGAGACTCCCAAGCAGACTCTTGGCTGAGTGGGGCTCGATCTTGCTACCTGAGACGATGACCTGAGCCGGAGTCAAGTGTGGGACGCTCACCCAACAGAGCCGCCCAGGTGCCCCAGAAATAGCTTTTTTAACTTCAAACACTGTTGGCCCTTTCGTGGGCTGGCTGTGTTCCTGGGGACCGGGGGCGGGAGTCCGTCTGGACTGGGTCCCCATCACTGCTTTCTGCCACCTTCCCGCCACATCATGTGGGGTCCTTTCTGGTCAGGTATGGTGGGTGCTTTGGTGACTGTCCGGAGGGGACCGGCAGCCTGTGCTAGGGACCTCTAGCTCTGCAGTCCCATGTCAGAAAACCGCCCCGTGGGGGCCGGAGTGTGCAGAGTGAGCTTGGGGCACGGGGGCTGCCTTGAGGGCACAGGCGGTGGTAGGAAGCGGGAAGCAATGCTACCAGGCCGGGGAGTGGGGCTCTCACCTTCCCTCGGGGGCAGGCAGAGGAGAGGGGTCACTGTAGCCACCAAAGGCAGGCCACTAGCCAGGGACGCTGGAGCCGGGCAGCCCCGGTAAGCAGCTAGGATTCTCTCCGGCTGGTCCTAAGTCAGAAGCAGGGACAGAAATGAAGGCAGTTTGCGGTGATTCCTCCAGTCCTGGCTGTTTCAGGCCGAGGGCTCCAGGGCACGTGACTTAGCCTCCGGGCGGCGGGCCGGCTCCCATTGGCCGCTCGGCAGGGGTCAGAGCTGTGTCCTTGGGTGTGGTCTGGCCGGTGTGTACAGAGGGATGGGCCGTAAAGCACCGTCGCCCGCAGGCGGGCAAAGCCGTGTGAGGGGCATGAGCGCGGGGGAGGGGGTGTGCCCCTGGGCTGCGTGGGGACGGGCGGGGGCTATTCTGGGTTTGGGGCTGGAAGATTTCCCCACATGTTCCCGGCACCCTCGGCTTCCCGTACTCCTGCGAGCCTTCAAGCACGGACTGGGCCGAGGGGGGCGAGGAGGGGGGCGAGGAGGGGGGCTCGGGGCCGGGGTCTCCCAGCGCCATGGTCCCCGCAGGCCATCGCCACGCGGGAGGAGCTGCACGCACAGCACTCGCGGAGCCTGCAGGAGAAGGACGCACTGCGGAAGCAGGTCCGGGAGCTGACCGAGAAGGCAGACGACCTGCAGCTCCAGCTGTTCCAGCGTGAGGGCCAGCTGCTGGCCGCGGAGGGCAGGCTCAGGCGGCAGCAGCTGGACGCGCTCGTCCTGGTGGGCCTCCTGGGGGCTGGGGGCCTTCGTAGTGCCCACTGCTCAGAGTGGCAGCCCTGCCACGGTAGAGCCCAGGGGACTGGCCTTCAGGGGCAAGGGAGTCCCCAGAGACACCAGAGCCCAAAGGAGGGGACTCCAGGCAGCCCAGGTCCAGGCCTGGCTTGGCTACTGCACCACGGGTGGCCTTCTGAGCCCCCTCAGCTCAGAACCTGGCAGGCCACTCTGGGGGTCAGGAGGGGGAGAGAGGGGTGTTCTGGGGTGCCAGCGCCGGCCACGGCCTGGAGAGAGGCCCCCTTGAGGACAGGGGCTGGCCTGGGAACCCCTCACCAAGCCCCACCCCACCCCAGGCCCTGGGGGTGGCTGGGTTTCCCCACGGCCTGCTGACCGACTCCTTCTGTGACCACAGAGCTCTGACCTGGAGGACAGCTCACCCAGGAACTCCCAGGAGGTGCGTGTGACCCTCGGTGGGCTCCAGGCCACCATCCCCTATGGGAGCTGGGCCAGTTGCTCTCCTCCCAGGCCCCAGCCGGGTGGGCTGACCGCCTTTGGGTCCTTGGGGCAGGCAGGCCCTTCCTGCCAGCTCGCTGAGAAACAGCGCGGTAGGTCAGGTGGGTCCCGGGGGGTGGCGGTCTAACGACGCCCATCTCTCTCCCTGGTAGCTCTCGCTCCCCCTGGACCTGGAGGCTGTCCAGCTCTCAGGCAAAGGTGAGGAGGGGGGCAGCTTCTCGTGGATGAGTCCGGCCGAGGCCTCTTTGTCACCTTACTCAGCACCAGTCCTGACAGGGGACAGCCCTCTCCCACTGACCTCACAAGCCTGCTTTACAGATGGGCACATTGAGGCTTAGAGGGACGAGTGACCCCCAGGCTCCCCAGCAAGCAAACGAGCCAGGTGTGGGGGGCCTGCACCCCAGTTCTGATGTTGAGAACGCGTCCCTCCATCAGAGCCCACTCTGGGCCCAGGAATGCAGCAGAGGCACCTTGCTCTCCCTGAGCTTCCGCTTGGGCAGGGGGTGGCGGCGGGGTGGGGGGGAGTCTGCCAGCGAGTGTGGGAGATGCAAACAGGGGGGAAGGGGGCGTCTCAGGGCCAGGCACAGAGATGGCAGAGAGATGGCCTGGGGAGTGACGAAGGGTGACAAGGGGTCGAGGCGTTCATTCTGAAGGTGGCTGCCAGAGGGGAGGTGGGGAGGTGGCATGGGAAGCCAGATGGACCTCCTCAGGCTCAGGCCAGCCACCAGAGGGACAGCCAGTGCAGAAGTGAGGGAGCAGAGCAGTCCAACGCTGCCCAGAGACCTGAACTTCAGGCCATGGAGCCCCAACATGGGGACAGGTGGGCAGGACCCAGCAGGCAGTGAGTGGTAGGGGGAGACCCTGGGAGGCCCAGCCCAGGGTTGGTGTGGCCCCTTGAAGGAGCTGGGGCGGGCTTCAGGGTCAGAAGCCGAGGAAGGGAAAGTGCCAGCCCCGGGAGAGACCTGGATTGGGGTCTTTCCCCCTGTGACGTTCGTGAGACTAGATGTCCAGACTCCCATCCTGGCCAGTGTAGGGGGAACCAGTCCATCTAGCACCTTCTGTCTGACGGTCCTGAGAGCCCTGAGCCCATCCAGGCCCTGGCAGATCTTGAAGGGGCCAGGCAGCTTGGAATGTTGTGCTCCCAACTGCTGGGAGCAGAGCTCAATGGTGGGGCCCTGGTGGGCTTCCAGCAGCCTCTGCCTGCTTAGAGGGTCCAGAGTAGGTATTGACATCTCTGAGCTCCAGTCCTCTTGTGTACACAATGGGAGGCCTCTTGGGGTTCAAGCGAGGGCCCGGGAGATGGTGCAGGACTGGCCTGGCAGCTTCAGGGGAGAGGAGGTGGCCAGGTGTGGTCCCAACAGCTGGGGAGGACCCACAGGCCTACTCCTCCATTCCAGGTGGCCCGGCCGACGGGGACAGCCCACAGCAGCCCTTTGCGGCTCTGCAGGAGGAGCATCTTTCCCTGACCCCCAATGTAAGGCTGCCCCCGGGGCCCTGCTGCCCAGGGGTGCCGCTGGCACGGGCCTCTGTGACTGAGCTGTGTGGCCGACTGTTCAAGCTGGACGCCTGGGGGTGATGGCAGGGGTCTCCGCCCACGGGCTCTGGGCTGCACAAGCCTGGAGCCGAGTCCCCACTTGTGGCTGCGGCAGGGGGCAGCGGGAGCAGGCAGGGGACAGCGGGCCGGGCGTGGCAGCCGTCGGGAGCCTGTGTTCGAGGTCCCGGGGCGTGGCGACACCAGGACTCCGGCCCGCGGCGCGGCTTGCCGGCAGGCCGTGCGTCCCGGCTCTGCGCGGTCCTCCGGACGCGGGCTGCGCGGTCGCGGGGCGGGGAACCCCCAACGCTCCAGCGGCCTGAGCCCCGCTCCTCTCCCAGGACGCGGGCCCGAGTGGCGGGGAGCCCCCCGAGAAGGAGCGGCGGCGCCTCAAGGAGAGCTTCGAGAACTACCGCAGGTGCGCCACGCGGGCAGGGGGCGGCCCCGGGGGGGCTGGCCAGGCGTGGGGGGCGGGGGCGCGGTCGGCCCGCGGACACGCGCTCGCCCCGCAGGAAGCGCGCGCTCCGGAAGATGCAGCCCGGCGCGCGGCCGGCGGAGGCGGACTGGGAGAACACCACGGGCAGCGACAACACCGACACCGAGGGCTCCTAGCCAGCCCCGCGCGCGGGGCCCACGCCGGGCCGGGCCGGGGGGCGTGCTCTGGGCGGGCAGCACTGTCAGATGCACTTCTGTGAATAAACGGCCGGGGTCCGGTACCGTGTCCTCCGCCCGCCTCGCTCCCGCGTACACCCCGAGCTGCGCGCGCACCTCCCGCCTCCAGGGGGCAGCAGAGCGCGGCCTGCCAGTCGGCGGACGGAAGCCGAAAAGGGCCGTTCACGCCGCGTGCCCGCTTCCAAGATGGCGACAGCGCGGCTTCAGCCGCGTGGAGGGGGGGCGGGGCGGGGCAGCCGACGTCGGAGGGCGGAATGCTGCGGGCTGCGCTGAGCCGCGTGCCGCCGCTACTGAGCCGCAGGTGGCCCCAGGGGCCCGGCCTGAGGGGTTTGTGGGGACGCGGGGGCGGCCCGGAGGCTGCGGAGAGAAGGCAGGCCGGGGTCGGGCTCTGGGGCTGGCGGCGTTTGAGCTCGGGGCCCGGGGCCGCGCACTACCAGCTTGTCTACACTTGCAAGGTGAGCGTGCGACGGGTGCGAAACTGGCTCCCCGGGAGCGGAGAACAGTATGGAGGGGTGGAGCCGTCCCCGAGGGCGGGGCCTTTCCGGGAGAGGGGTGGAGCTGTACTGGGGGCGGGGCCTTTCCGGGAGAGGGGTGGAGCTGTCCCCGAGGGCGGGGCCTTTCCGAGAGGGGGTGGAGCTGTCCCCGGGGGTGCGGTCTTTCCAGGAGAGGTAGAGCCGTCCCCGGGGGCGGGGTCTTTCCGGGAGAGAGGTGGAGCCTTTCCCGGGGGCGGGGTTTTTCTGGGAGAAGGGTGGAGCCATCCCCAGGGGCGGGGCCTTTCCGAGATGGGGTGGAGCCGTCCCCGGGGGCGGGGCCCAGCACACCGCGTCGGTGCGCTGTCTCAGGAGGCGGAGAAGGCCCGGCCCCGGTTGAAGTCGATCCTCAGAGGGGGCGGGGTCTTCCTGAGGGGCGGGGCCAGGCACATGGCGTCACCTGGGCTGCGGGTGTCCCCAGGTGTGTGGGAGCAGGTCCTCCAAGCGCATCTCCAAGCTGGCCTATCACCGGGGCGTGGTTATTGTGACCTGCCCCGGCTGCCAGAAGCACCACGTCATCGCCGACAACCTGGGCTGGTTCTCAGACCTGGATGGGAAGAGGTGAGGCCCCGCGGGCCGGGTGGGAGGACAGGCCCATGCACGTGGGCTGGCCTGCAGGGTCGGGGCCCCACCGCGCGTCCGCCTATCCCCCCTCCTGTCGGGAGCCCCGGGGAGCCTGCGCCCCCAGCCTCCTCGGCACAGGAGGGGCTTTGGGTTTGAGTTTCGGGGAAACCAGGAATGACTTGGGCAGGGATGGGCTCAGCCTCCCGTGGCCCTCACCGCTGGCCTGTTAGGGTCGGGACTGTGAAGTGAGGGGCGCGCTGGGCTGATTCCCTCTTGTCGTGGGCTCCCTCGTCCCCACAGAGAGGTGTGGAGAGTCAGCTCCGGTGGGGGGCCTAGTGCCTCACTCGCGTTCTCTGCCCCCGCTGGCTGGTTGGTCTCGCCAGACTCGGGGTGTGTGTGAGGCTGTGTGCACCCCCCTGGGCAGGCGCCTCCTGGCTGGAGGTCCTGGGCTGTTCGTCTTGAGGGCGGGTTGGTAAAAGCTGCTTCTGGGGGCTCTGAAGAGTCCGGAGGTCAGCATGTGGGGGGCTCGTGGCCACACCAGCGTGGGGACCCACGCTCCCGGCTCCAGCCTGGCCCTGGGCTGCCCTTGGGGTGGTGCTGAAGAGCCCAGGTACAGGGTGGGGGTCCTGGGAGGGTCACGACACCTCCTTCTCTCTCAGGAATATTGAAGAAATCCTGGCGGCCAGAGGGGAGAAGGTGTGCCGAGTGGCTGGCGAGGGGGCCCTAGAGCTGGTTTTAGAGGCTGCCGGGAACCCCAGATCCACCCCTGCTCCAGAAGGGGGTGAGGACCAGGACCCCACTCATCCTGGCAAGACGGAGCCCAGCTGACTCTGTCTTCTGCCTTCCGGAAGATGCTTTGGCCCAGGGCCTCCCGGGCTGGCCTGTTTTCTCTCAATAAACACACGTCCTGTGGAGGTGGTGGGGCCTGGCGCCTTCTTCTTGTCCCTGGTTCCGGAGTCAGAAGGACTTCCAGGGCCCTCTGCCAGGTGGTGGTCCTGGTCCTCCACGGTCCCTCTTCACAGAGGACGGGCCCTGTACTTGCCTGTGGTCAGCTGTGTCTGTGTGGGAGGAGACGGGGTGGGGAGCCTGAGCCCCCTGGCTGTGGCCGGTGTCCCCGGACGGGTCCCTCTGCTCTCTGAACTGTGCCTTCCCACCGGATGAAGATGGGAGACCCTGTTAGGTGGAAGGCCAGGAAGACCAGACGTGGGACAGGCATGGGGCAGCGGGGACGTGCTCTGTAGGCTGGGACCCCGGGCTTGCTGGGCCTGGCGGGGACCTGGAAGGCATGGCCAATCAGCCACTCTTCCTGGGGGGCAGCACCCACCGTGGGTCCCATCTGGCCAGACATGGGGAGATCCTCCCAGTTCCCGCTCCTCCCGCGCCCCTGCCAACCCCGATGCTTCCTGCGGGGGTACCGGGGAGCCTGCGCGGCCCTCGGCCCTGACCCTTGGCTGCGGGCCAGAGGGGGTCCGCACATCAGGCTGCTCAGCGTGACCACGGGGGCCTGGGCGGCCGTGGTGGCAAGATGGGGGTGGGAATCTCGGTGGGCCGCGTGCCCCACGTGGGCCCTGCCCCCAGGGGCGTGCGGTTTGTCTCCCAGCCCTGTCTGACGGCTTGTTCAGGATGTGCTGTGTTTATGGGAGGAGCGTGGGTATTTCCAGAAGTGTGACCTTCACCATTAGTCACCAGGCACGGCCCCGCAGGTCATGGAGCATTGGAGCACTGCGTCAGCGCCCCGGGCTCTGCCATTGTTCCCTGGGGCGCTGGCAGTGTGTGCGACTCGATTACCCCCTGTCTTTCCCCGAGAAAACAACCACCTATTATCCCCCTCAGAGCCTCCCTCCCGGAGACTTGGCCTGGAGGCTGAGCCAGCCCCTGCGCCTGCCCCTCCCCATGGGCCTCGGGAGGCAGGGCCGGGCCTGTGCCTGGCTGCCTCGCTGTCCCCTGGGAGCCCGCTGGATCTAACAGTGCCAAGCTGGACAGAGGACGGCGGCCCCGGGCCAATTCCTCTCTCCACAGATGGGGAAACTGAGGCCGGGGTGTGGACGTGGGGATAGGCCACGTTTATATTTTCCTGTATTCTGATGCTTGACATCCAGGCCCCACTGACCCTGGAGGGGCTGAATGCACCCCATGGCCAGGTACCAGACAACAAGGGGGGCCCCACTACCGAGCTCCTGAGACGGTCCACACTATTGCGTCCCCGGGAAACCACAGCTCCTGGAGGCACTGAGTGGCAGCGCGGCGCCCCGTAGCAGAGCCACCTTCTCTGGGTGCCCGGGTTCCCAAAGCACCAAGGACTGTCGGGTCAGAGGCTCTGTGACAGTCCCCCGGGGCCCCTGGGGGTGCCCCCTCTGTGGGCATGTCCTGACTGTGGTCCTCCCTGCAGACCTCCCTCCCAACCTGCTTTTGGCCTCCCCGGTCCACCCTCACCTCAGGGGTCTCCCGACCCCCACTCCCGCCCGGCTGTGCAGCCTCCTGTGGTCAGGCAGGTGCCCCGGGCCCAGCGGGTCACTACAGGAGAGGTGAGTGAGGCACCTCCTACCTCGCTGGGTCCACGGACCCCTCCGCTTTCCTCCTGGGGACACAGCGCCATAGAGCAGCTGGGGGTTGGGGTGTCTGCTGGGGGTGTCTCCCCAAGCTGGCTCCCTGTCTTCGCAGACGGCTCTGTTGCACTCATCGGCCCGTGGTGCCAGGGGTGTGACATCATGGGCGCGACATCATAGGCGCTCTGCACCTTGTTCCGTGGCCCCGAGCAGGTCCTGGGCAGGTGGGCCACGGCTCTGCTACTGCTGAGAACTCAGAACTGGAGAGGCAAGCGCTCCTGGACACTGTGTGACTCTGTCCACTTAGCACAGCCACTCCCAGTGTGGAGAATGGAACAAACCTGCCACCAGGTGGCTGGCTGGCACCATTGTGGGGGTAGGCTTGTAGCACAGTGGTGGCCCCAGGCCCTTTGCACAATGCAGGGTTGCTTACCCAGATGAGTTCAATCACCTGGGGCTTCCTAAAGGACCCAAATCCTCTCATCCTTAGGACTAATTCTGACACAGACATTATTCACTTGGCAGACTTTATTTTTTTGGGAAAAACAAAAAAAAAATGTACCTCTTGGGTTGGAAAGGACCCACTGACAGCACGGCAGACGACGCATGAGCAATAAATATGCACGTACATTCAAGTATGTGGGGCGGCCCAGGAGGAGCCCGTGTTCTGGCATGGTCGCTGTGGGCCCGGGGCCCCCAGGCTGTACTGTGGGGTGGGGGTATGGCTGCCTCCCCACGCTTGGAGAGCCTCAGAGAAAGACCGAGGAGCCCAGCTGAGGCACCTCCTGGGTAGAAGATAGCCCCCACACCCTAGGGACCATGGGGTTGAGGTGTGGGGCCAGGGGCTTGCCAGAGGGCTGGTGGCAGGCCAGGGCTGCAGCCCCCCGGAGGGCCTGTCTCCTGCCCAATCCTGTGGGCGGATGGTGTGTGCAGGCTGGACCCTCCCCACAGGAGAAGGCCGTGATGTCATCTTCCCAGCTGAAGGCTGGGTGCTCACTTGGAGGCCCAGGGTTGAGCCGAGCTAACCCCCCCCGCCTGGGCTTCTGCCAGCCGCCCCTGGCCCTGGCGTGGTGAGGGAGCAGACCTCGCTGCCTGCTGGCATCCTAGCCTGGGCCTGCTCCGTCCCTGGGCTTTCGGGGCTTAGGGCTTAGGGTGTCACAGCTTATCCCCACCCTTCCCCTCACCTCCCTCAAGGCCCCTGCCTGCTCTGGACTGGGTGCCAGATGGGGCTGGGGGCCAGGGCCCGGCGACAAAGTGTGGGGACACCTGGCCTGCCTGCACCGTCCTGTCAGGCTCCAGGCTTTCTGAGTCGGCCTTCCACCTCCTCCAGCCCAGAGGAGGCAAGCAGGTGGGCTGACAGGCAAGGGGCTGGGACTGGGCCAAGCACGTCTGCTCTGTCATCCCTGGGACCCTCCCCGGGAGGACAGAACCGTCCATGTTGCTGGCAGGCCCCGTGGCAGCAGCTTCAGAGCAGCCTTTGGGGGCATAGGGGCAGCCGCGGAGTCTTCACATTTGCCGGGCGGGCCGGAGGGACGAAGCTGGGCAGAGTGGGGAGAGGCCAGGGAGGGTTAGGGACCAGCAAGCTACAGGCCAGACCTGGGGCAGGGAGGGGGTGGGGAGAAGGCCAGGCCAGGCAGGTCGGGGCAGGCCTGCAGAAGGCCGTGTCCCACGTGGGAGCCAGTCCAGGACAGAGGCAGGCGCACCCACCCAGGGCAGCCCTGGCCCGAGCCTGCCCCTCCAAGAGGGGGATGCTGTGGGGGCCGTGTGCCCAGCATCGGCCACAGTGGGAAGGGCCAGAGGGCGCAGAGCCTGCCCTCAGCCATGGCCTCTGGAGGAATGGGCTTCTCGAGGGGCTGTGGGCATCACAGGTGACAGTGAGCCCCCTGGCCCCAAGGCCCAGAGCTGGGCTGGGGCCAGCCTGGCCGTGGCTACAGGGTCTTAGCTGGCCCCGGGCTGGCCCTGCTGCCGGGGCTCAGGGCTCCCACCCCCCTCCTGCTCGGGGCTCCCGGCAAGGTCCACCCGCTGCTCGTCCATCCGCTTGGCCTGCACCCTCTGGATGAGGCTGAAGAAGTCCTCGTCAGGCATGGTGGGGCCGCGGGGCAGCACGTCAGGAGGTGGGCAGCGCTGGTCATCGATCCTGGAGGACTGGGCAGACACAGACTCGTCAGTTGGCAGCTCGGGCCTCCCCCGCCTCAGAGGGCCCGGCCTCGCGCACGGGCCCAGCAGTCCTTGGTCTCGGGGACAAGGCCCAGGCAGGGGTTCTGGCCAGCGGCTCTCTCTGCGTTTACCGGTAAAATCAGCCCCGCGGGCAGTGCTGGGAGCCCCGGCCCCAAGAACGAGGAGCCTCTGCCCAGGCCACACAGGGAGGGAGGGGACTGAGTCACCGCCAGGCATGGGGGAGCAGGCCGGGCTGCGGGGCTGCTGGCTGGCCTTCCTGTACTGCACCCAAGACCCCCCGACAGGGATGCCTTCAGGAACCGCGGGGGCAGGATTGGGGGCTGCGGCTCCCCGAGCCCAAGGTGCGAAGCTCTCCAGGGCGCCCCATCAGGCCAGGGGTCTGGGGCGGGACCAAGGAGGCCCTGGGGCTCCTGTGCAGGGCCTGGAGCAGAAGGGCCGGGAGCCGGTGCGGCTGCTGGCGCGTGCGAGCGTGTGGGCCAGGGGCTCGGGGGTTCTCCGTACGGGCCACTTCGGAGGATTTCTGGATTCGCCTAGGGCCGCGCTTTCCTCTGCTCTGTGGGAACGAACGTCACATCTGGAAACCACACCGTCCCTCAGGCTGCAGCCTTTCCTGTCACCTTGCATGAGATCCCTGAACCCTTCTGTTGTCTCGCCCTGCCTGGGGGACCAGGGGCTGCACCACGCCCCGGGGGCACCCCCCAGCCAGAGCTCCTGCCCCATGAGGAACGGCCAGGAGCATCTGTGGGCACCCGGTGACACCAGTGCAGCCGGCCTGAGCGGGACTGGCCAGAGCCCACCGCAGGCATGAGGAGCCTCCACCCCACACGAAGGTGAAGGGGCCCTGGGCCACTTGGAGGTGGAGAGGGATGCGGGGTGGAGGGGCGCGCAGGGGGGCGGGCATGGGGGGCCATGGGCGAGCATCGTGGGAGATGGGCAGGCACGGGGAGGAGGGCACGGGGGCCCATGGGCGAGCAAGGGGGGAGACAGGGGTGGGCACGGGGAGGAGGGCATAGGGGGCATGGGGCAGGCATGGGGGGAGATGGGCGGGCACTGGGAGGGCACAGGGGGCACGGGGCAGGCATGGGGGGAGACGGGCAGGCACGGGGAGGAGGGTGCCCCCAGTCCCCCAGCCGCAAACCCACCTGGCACTTGACAAGCATGTTGAAGAAGTCGTCCCCCGGCTCCTGTGGGTCCCCATCACCGCGCAGGCGGCCCAGGTTGCTGTGGGTGACACGCAGCCCGGGCAGGCTGCCCACGCTGGCCCGTTGGTCGTCCAGCCGGCGGCTCTGGGAGCTGGCGATGAGGTCCAGGAGTTCCTCAGTCTGTGGGGAGGCCGTCAGCGAGGGCTGGGCTGTGGGGGCGAGGTGGGGAGAGGGGGCCCCACGGGCCGGGTCAGGCCAGGGCCCCATACTACCCTCCACACTTTGGGGGACACGGGGCTCCCAGCAGTGACCCTAGATGCCCTGGGCTGTCCCTGCCACAGGCCCCACGTCCACCCATGGGGGCTCCTAGGTGCCGGGAAGAAGGCCTGGCTTCCCACGCCTGCTCCTGGCCACGCCTGCTCCTGGCCCACGATGCACCCTGACGTGGTATGCCCCAGGGAGCAGGGATGACGACAGGCTTCCCGGGATGCAGCTTTGGGGGAGGCAGGGGATGAGGTGGTGACAAGGGGCACTTTTGCAGCAGGGGTATCCCACCCCTCGGGAGCAAGGGCTCCTGGGGGGCACTGTGGTGGAGGGTGGGGAGTGAGCGTGGCAAGGACAAGGGGAGCTCCATGGGGGGCACTCACCGACCCTCTCCTCCGGGGTGGGGGCAGCTGTGGCCTCGGAGGCCCCAGGCTGGCCCTCCTCCAGGGGACAGCGCTGGTCGTCCATACGGCTGCTCTGGAACTTGCTCAGGAGATCAAAGAAGCACTCTTCGTCGGAGGATGGGGCCCGAGGGATGCTCTGGGGGGTGGGGGGGGCATGCAGTCATCATTGGCTCCGGCCCAGCCAAGGCGGCCTGGCTCCGGTCACCAGCTCCTCAGGCCCCCAGACAGCACTGAGGTTGCTGCTCCGCCCGGGATGAGGTCAGGACCCTCTCCCCACCTGCCCGTCCTCCTCCCACACCCCGCCCCCAACCCCTGCTTGCCCTCCTGGAGCGCTTCCCAGCAGCATCCCCGTGCCCCATGTCCCCCACCCCTGCCCCACGGGACCCTATCACATGCTTGTCAAGAGCTCCAGCTGTGGTGGTAGCTTGGACCCGACCACCCAGCATGTCACTCGCTGGGGCGGCCAAACGCACAAATCAACCAGTAGCGAGTGAGTGACTAGACCCTGCGCCGGCAGGAAGCCCTGCTGCCCAGCTCCCGTATCACAGCGGCCTGTCTGTGCCAGGGCCCCAGCAGCGACGGTGGATCCGGGACCAGTAGTGTCAGGTCATATCACCACAGGCAGGGAGCCACAGCTGGGGGAGGTGAGGGCTCCTGTGTTCCACCCCAGTCCCACCCCTTCTGCGGTTAGACCCGTGGGCAGGCCCAGAGGACAGATGTGTGGCGGCCAGGACCCTGGGTGCAGGATGTCCAGGCTAAAGAGAAGGTGTGGCCGCTCCCCAGCCCCCTGCATGCTGGCTGAGGTGTCCAGGCTCTGCTCTGAGTGGCTGGGGGGCAGAGCCTGGACACCCTGAGGGATTCTGGGAGATGCCTCAGTGTGCAGCCCGGGTGGTGGGGAAGGCTGACCCAGGGGCCACCTGCAAGGTCTGGGCAAGCCCCACTGATGAGGCCAGGGAGGGGGCGGTGGTCCTCAGAGTGAGGGGGGATGGGAAGCGGAGTCCGGGCCACTGGACCTGCCTGAGTCCCAACTGGCAAACCCAGTCCCCCTCTGGGCCTCAGTTTACACATCCATAGGAGGGGAGGCTGGAGGCAGTGGTCTCTCAGGGCCCCGAGGGTGACTGGTGAAGGAGGCGGCTTCCAGGAGCCACCTTGGCTACAGACTGGGTCCTCCCCCTGCTCCCCCGTCCGACGCCGGTGGCCCCTGCCCAGCCCTGGCCTGTCCACCTCTTGGCTAATTGAGGGGGCCTCCTGGGGCCTGCTCAGAGCCTTGCTCATGGAGAGACCACAATAGCTATGGTGTCACCTACTGAGCGCTGGCTGGGGCCCAGATCTCCTGACGACCCCACACCACCCCACCGCAGAGGCGGGTACCAGGGCGGGGGAGCTTGGTTGGGGATCTCCCAAACAGGCCCAGCCTGGGCCCCCAGGGTGGTACGGTGCCCAAAAGTCAAGAGGGATCCAGGGAGGGCCAACCTCATGGGTGGTCCTGACACAGCCTACGGGGGAGCCGTGCCTGTGGCCGGTGTGGGAGGACAGCAGCCCCTCCCCTGTCCCACCAGGGCGGGCCCAGACCCAAGGTTGAGGGAGAGTGAGGAGCCTCCGACTCAGGGCTCTGCTGTCCTGCGTCCTGGCCCAAGACCCCACAGAGCCCGGAGCGAACTGAAAGCTGGCACAGAGTGCACAGGGGCCTGGGCCGGGATGGGGGCCCGGGGGTGCTGCTCTTGGAGGAGTGGTCAGGGCCAAGCATCAGCTCTGCACAGGTGGGGGTCGTGTAGGTGCCTCCCCAGAGGTAAGGGCTGTTTACAGGCTGCTTGGGGCCCCGGGGTCAGCCAGGTGTGGGGGTACACACCGCACCCGCCTACTGCTGGGGACCGCAGGTGGACTGTGGGTCAGGTGAAGGGAGCCAACCCCTCCCAGAAAAGGTGTAGCCGCGGGGCCCCTCTTCTCTAGACACCTGGGTCCTCAGCACTCCAGATTCCCCAGGCTGAGCTAGGTGCTGTTTGCCAGAGGCTTCCCCTGGCCCATCATCCCTGTAGCTGGGGCTGGGCAGAGAGGGCCCCAGAGCAGAGCTGTGCGGGCCCCCTGGGAAGGGCTAGGGCCTCCGTCGTTTGGGGGTGTGTGGGGATGAGGCTCTGGACAGCAGAGAGGCCCCCTCTTGTGTGGTTTGCCACCCTGGGTCCCTGCAGGACACGCTGTGCCCTCTCCATGGGCCCCTGATTTGGGCTCCCTGGGTCCTGCTGGACTTCTGGCCTGGGACTTGCTGGCTCCCCGCACCCCTGCCTTGGCTGGGTGCAGAGGTGCTGAGCTCACCCCAACAGCACCAACCCCAGGACAACAGCTCTGCTCTCCAACCCCCCGTCCAGCATCACATGGCTCCCTGAGCCTCCCGCGCAGGGGACCCGACACTCACGCTAGAACCGTAGCTCCCCTCCAGCGGCCGTGACCGGGCTGCACGCTATGTGCTGTCCCCAGCCTCGGCCATGTGGCGTCTGTGCTGCCCCTGTAGGCTCAGTGCTTAAATAGGCCCCAGGGGCGCACTGTCCCCGCCCCAGAGGGCCCCCCTCCCTGCGCTCACTCGCTCCCGCGGGCGCACACTCACACACGAGGAACAGACGCACACGCACACGCTCTGTAAACACTCAGACTATTTCCAGCACAGAGGGCTCCTGCTCTGGCCCACGGGCGGTCAGGCCGAGGGGTGAGGGGGATGGAACCTGTCTGGGAAGCAGCGTTCCCATGGACAGAGGCCACTGACAGGGGTCCGGCTTCCTTCCAAGCTGGGTCAGCCCAGAAGTAGTCTCTTCTTTCAGCCCTGACTCCTGAGGCCGGAGCCGGGTCTGCCATGGCCGCATGAGGAGCCAGAAGGATGCTGGCCCTTTCCACGGGCACAGGCTGTGTGGCCACTCGCCATGCAGCAGCCCCAGGGGCCACCACCACCCATAGCGCCCTCCCCGCCCCTGCCACTCGCCACGGGGTCCCTTCCCTGCACCCAGCGGTCTGTGGAGCCTTGGCCTCTGGCTGGCTCCTAGGATAGTCCTCGTGCTGGCCCAGGGCCCAGTGCCGGCCGACCCTGGGGCACTGAGGGGAACTGGGTAGGAGCCCTGGAAGGAGGGGAGGATGGGAAAGGGAAGCGGAGCCCCAGGGCCCTCTCTGTCCTGCACCTACAGGGAGCTCAGAGCCCTGGAAGGAGGGCCACCCCACAGTTCTGACTGTGGGGAGCTGGGCAAGTGTCTTCGGGACAGGGGAATCAGGCGGCCACTGGGGTCCAGGCCTCCAGCTGGGGCCAGCCTTGGCTCTCCACCACTGGCATTTCCTGCAAAAGTGTCCCCACAGCCCAGAGCCCTGCCAGGTCTCTGAGGAGCAGAGCTGGGGTTCCAGGAGCTGACCACGGCCTTGGAACCCCAGCTCCACCATTCCTAGCTGAGTGCCCTCAGGCCACCTCCCTCGCTGCCCTGTGCATCAGTTTCCCTTCTTAGGGCTGCTGTGTGGCAAGCCTGAACATTGGCTACTATCCATGTTTGGTAGAAGGCGCCCCCTCCCCCGGATGGCAGCAATAGGGACTCAGCTAGGGCCAGGTTACCATGGGGAAAGGCCTTCCTGTTCAAAGCCTGCTGTGGCTCCCTGGTGCCTGGGGGCCCTCCCCTGCCAGACACTTTCTGGAGGGACCGTGACACTCGGGGCCGGCGCAGCCCTGATCCCCATGTCCTGCCCCAGGAGGAGTTCCCGGGGCCCCCAAAGCCCCGTGTGATGGTGGCAAAGCCCCCGCACTGAGGGCTGGGGGCCCCAAACGCACAGTGTGGGTGGCAGCCCCACTCTGCTGGGGCCTCAGTGGCACCCCCTTCCTCCCCCCTCTCCCTCCAAGGACACAGACCCTGGCTGGCAGGCTGGAGGGCAGTGCCAGGGTCACACGGGGTTGGCAGAGGCCCTCCCGGGCTCAAGGGAAAGACGGGCACAGAGCAGCCCTCCGGGGCTAAGAATACCCTGCGCGGCGCCCACGCTCCTCAGTGTCGGGGCAGGTGCTGATTAAGCCCTCAGAGGAAACTGTTTTTAGACTAATTTCCAGGCATGTGGACCCAGGTGCTCTGCATGCCTGGTGGTGAGGAGTGGTGTTCTAGGCTGACCTCTGAACGTGGCTCGGCGGGGCCTCCCAAACCCTGACCAGCTTCCTCGAGCCCAGACGGGCCAGCCCCGTCTCGCAGATACCCGCCAGGAGCGGGAGGTCCCTGTCCCTCTGCGCCCACTGGTCTGCATCTGACTGCCAGCCCATCGCTCCCTCACCCACCATCCGTCCGCTTCTGGCTCTGGACGCTGTGTACCCAGACACGGCTGCCGGCCGGGCCCGAGGGCCTGTAGTCCCCCCCAAGGTCGTCCTACAGACCCCCAAACACGAGGCCTCCAGTCCAGTTTCTCTATGGCCTGGGCCCAGCCGAGGCCAGGACACAACAGATGGAGTGCTGTCCCTGCACCGTGCGCCCTGCGCTCAGGCCTGGGGACAGCACAGGGCCGTGGCCTCTGCCCCCGGCGGGTGGGGGGTGGGCGCCTGGCCCAGCCCAGGTCTGCAGCACAGGACGGCACCCAAGAAGAGGTCGCCTACCGTGCGGGGGACCTGCACCCGGACGTCTGCGCTGTCCAGCGGGGAGTGGCCGCCCTCTCGGGGCCTCTCAGCAGCCTCCAGCCCCTCCTGGTATTTCCTGCTCCTCATGGGGAGAGGGAGCACGTCCCTGCCCGGCCCCCGCCACTCCCCCACCTGGTGGCTGTCTCCATTCTGCTCCTGGAGAGGGGGAGGAAGGCCAGGCATGGGAGGGGGCCGTCAGCAATCCCAAACCCACGCTCCCCGGCGCAGGACCCCAAGAGGGGAGAGCAGCAGCTCTGTCTCCCAGACCCGCACCTAAGCTCTCAGGGGTCGGAGAGGGGAGGGAGAGAGGGCCTGGGGGTGCGGAGAGGCAGGGCAGGGCGCTGGAAGAGCTGTGAGCGAGGCGGCTGACCCCACACTGAGCAACGAGTGACCACGGCAGCCACGCGCCTTGTTCCCCAACAGACCCCCGCACTGAACCCCGTCCACGCTGGAGGAACCGGAGGCTCAGAGAGGCTAGCTCGCTCCCCCAGGGTGACACCGCGCCCACCTCAGGCAGGTACAGAGTGGGCCCAGAGCCCCACCGTGTCCCGTGTCCAATCGCTTGGGGGCTTGCCAAGGCCTAGCTGCTCCAGCTGGAATGGCGGGGAGCACCCAGGAATGGGAGCCGCCCAGGACGCTGGGGACCGTGGCTGGGTGGGGGCTTGGGGTCTACAGTGGGTAAGGGCTGGGGCTTGTCCCCCGGGGCACATGGCTGGTGGGACCCTGGGATGAAGTGGGAGGGGACAGGGCCTTGCAGGGGCCTCTCCGGGGGCCAGTGGTTGGGCTTGCGTCTCAGGCTGCGGAGGGCACCTTGGTCTCCGTTCGAGGGGATGCGACGCAGACTGGGGTGGGGGATGGAGGTGGCTCAGCAAGTACTGGGCCAGCCTCAGGGACCTGTTCTCCACGCTCAGCTGCTCACGGCCAGCGGCAGCCCCTCTGGCCCCGGGGCCCCAGCCGCCCACCCTGAGCCCCACTCACCCGCTCCAGGGGGAGCCTCAGCAGGCCCCAGGTCTCTGCACTCAGCCTCTGTGTCCTCTTGGGCCTGGCACCTGAAAGACAGCAGGCCGGGTCAGCCTGGCACTGACCGGGGGCTGAGAGGTGGGCTGGCCCAGGCCACCGGGTTCTCCGGGGAGAGTCAGGGTGTCAGCCTACATCCTGGGGACTGGCGGGGGAACGTCCACCTCACGGTCCCCTGTGGAAGCAGACACAGTGTCTGCATGACCTCGCACCGCCCGACTGGACAAGCAGGTGGGAGTGGGGACGGGGCAGACTCTCTACGGCCTGGGCGGGGTCTGGCCTTGGTGCTCCCCACAGGTCCGGTTTCTGAGCTCCTGCCGTACCCAGGGCCTCCCCCACCAAACTCCGTGCAGACGGGGCCTCGGACACCGACCTGTTCACTCCTCATCCTACACGCACACGGGCAGCCCAGGTCCTCCCGGAGTCGAATACCCCTCCAGCTACACACACAGGCTGGGCACCCGCTGGGGGCCCCTGTGCAAGGGTGGGGCTGTGCGAGGCAAGGAAGTGCTGTGGGTAGAGTGGGCAAGGCCCGCGGTGTGGCGGACGCTCCAGGGTCCTGTCTTGGCGGTACCGGACCTTGGACCCACGGCCTGCCCTCGGGCTCGGTGCCCCCGGCAGACTGGGCCTGCAGGCCTGTCGCCGGCGGTGCAGCGTGAGCCCCGGGGAAGCATCTGACCACGGCTGGCGTGTTGTGGACACCTGCAGGCTACATCGCGAGGACGGCCCGCCCTCCGTAGCTACCCCGGCACGGCACGGAGCTCCAGGCGAACACCCGTGGCGGACAGCGCGGCAGCCCGACCCCACCCTGGGCCCACACGCGCTGCCTAAGACACGGTCCCCAGAGCAAGAGGGGCCGGCTCAGGAGGTCATTCGGACCCGCCCAAACCAAACGCCCAAGGCTTCCTAAAAGCGGAGTAGGTGTCCAGCCCTTCTCCCTGTCCTGGCCTCGGGGTTCTGAAGCAGCCACACCCTGCTCCCCACTCTCCAGAGGCCTTGGGTGGAAAAGTGGTAACTCTCGGAGGAGGGGTTCGGGGGCTGCTGTCCCAGGAGGCCAGGGAGGGGACAGCTGCAGCAGCCTGACCAGGAGATGGTGGCCTGAAGCTACCTGGGCCCAGGACGTGGGCCTGTCCGCTGCCCCTCCCCCATGCCTTCAGCTGCCGCGGTCAGGCCAAGCCTGCCTCTGCCCCCTGCATGCAGCCCTTGGCCGGCAGGCAGCGCCCAGGTGTCGACCCCACGTCGTGGGCTGAAGGAGCTAGAGCAGGCCCAGAGGGCGCGTCCCTCTGTGTGTTTCCTCATAAGGGAACCCACTCCACCCCGTGCACCCCCGCCCCGGACTAGGCTGAAGAAACACCTGGATCCATCCCACACCAACCGCGACCAGCCATGGCAGTAATGCACGGGCACCTCCGTTCTGGGGACAGCTGAGTGGCCCGTCGGGATGGGCAGGCCTCTGTGCATAGCCTGTGACTCACCACAACCAGCGACAACCCGGTTCCATCTCCCGCCATGGGTGGGATGGTGGCCCCTGTCTTCTCTGCTCCCTGATACCCCAGGGCCCGATTCGATGTCCCCACCTTGTGTGCTGGGCCCCGCCTGGCTGGACAATCAGGCGCAGGCCACGGTGGAGGCTGAAATGCCACTCTGAGACACGGCTTGTGTCCGGCTCCGGGGCGGGTCCCCTCGTGGCCCTCTGAGCCTGGCTAAATGCACCCTCTGTCAGGAGAGCGGGCTGCCCTCACTGGGGCATGCAGGCCACACCAGCACTGGCACGCGTCCCATCCCACCCAGCCCAGAGGGTGAGGTCTGGAGACTTCCCTGAGCACCACCCCACTCCCGCCTGCGTCTGACCAGCACCGTCGTCATTTCTGCCCCACCAGTCTCGTTCTGCGCCCAGCCCCGACCGGCCCCTCCCACGTGCAGCCTGTCCCACCTACACGGGCAATCCCGCTTTCTAACTGCGTGGCTGTGTCCCCCCAGCTTCTCCCTGCCTTCAGTCTCTTCCAAAATCCCAGCAGCTACACCTTCAAAACAGGTCCAGCATCTCAGCCCTTCTCACCTTGCTGGGGTCTGCCTCCCCGCTCTTTGACCCTGTCCATGCTGGGGGGCTAGAGAGATGCCTGCAGGGCGTGTTCGATCTGCTTTCTCTGTTCACCCTGCAGGGTCCCCCTCCCCATCATTGCTCCTCCCAGCCAGGCTTACCGGGCCCCAGGGCCTTTGCACGGCTATTCTCCATTTAAGTTCAGGCTCACTCCCTCCTCCCCTTCTAAGTCTTTGATCAGATGTCACTGCTACGGACCACGTGTTTGTGTCCCCCACATTCCATATTGAAGACCCAAGCCGCACCTACATCGTGATGACATTAGGAAGCAGGACCCTGAGAGGTGATCAGGGTTGAGCTGAGGCCCTGCGGGTGGTGGGGTGGGTGCCCCTGTGAGAAAACACAGAGCCCCCTGTACCCCCAGACCCCACCGTCCTGGCTCCCTGCTCTTGCACCTCCATTCGCCAGCAGCAGCGGAACCATCAGAAGTAAACATCCAGGTCTTTAAGCGTCCTGGTCTGCAGTGTTCGGTTCCGCTCCCGAGCTGGCGGAGGCGGCGGCCCCCACAAGGCCATGCACACTCACACCCAGCCTCACGCTGCTCCTTCTCCCCAAACTCCTGCAGCGCGTTATCTGTCCACTACTGTCCGCCACACATTGTCACCTCTGGTCACCTTGGGCGGGCTCGCTCCCTGATGAGCAGCCCGTGTTTCCGGGTGTTTATTACGTGGGACCCGTCACACCCAGCTGCCCTCCCAAGACTCTGGATACGGGGGCTCAAGAAAGGAGACTGCCAGCCGTGGTCACAGGGCCTGGAGACGCAGAGCCAGGGTCAGGACATGAGAGGTCAGGTCCACTTGGCAAGCTCCAGAAGGTCAAGCTTGGAGCAGCCAGGAAAGGGACAGACATGAGGACAGCTAGGACCCCTGCGGCCTTGAAGTCTTCGGCCGTGTGTCGTAGGTGCCTGACTCGAGAACGGGGAACAGGCCACCTACTGAGTGCGCGGAGGGACAGGGAAGTGTCCACATCTTTAGCCCGCCCCAGGGAGTGCCCTCATCCCTGCCCCAGGACAACAGTGGGCCCAGTTCCCAGGCGGGGACAGTAGGGCACAGCTGGGTCAAATCACGGGGTCCGCCAGCCAGGACTGGGTGGAGCCAGGGCCTGCAGCCACAGCTGTGGCTCAGACATTCGCTGTGCACATCCCATCCCGCTATGGTGGCCAAACGCAGGGTCCATGGACGGCCCCTACCCTGTGGGACACAAGACTGCTGGGTCCAGCTCCCCAGGGCTCAGGACCGGCCCCACCCTCTTATGAACTGATTGGGCCGCCGCGTCCCCGGGGGGTGCAGCGGGACCTGCATCTGACACGCCCTCGCCGGAAAGGGCAGGCACGCGGCCCGGCAAGAGACCAGACCCAGGCCCAGGCCCCTGTGGCCGGCTGGGAGGAGCCTGTGCCCACCCAGACTTGTTCTGGGGTCTCTGCTGGGATGGGGGCTGCAAGGCTGGGACCTATAATCAACTCACAGACTGAGCCCCGCCCCGCGCCAGGCTCTGGGTCCTCCAGCCGCAAAGCATAAAGGACTCTTGTTTTTCTCACAACAGTAAAGAAAAGCTCGAGTCCACCACCCGCCCACCGTGGCCCTGCCCGCCTCGGCCCCTCTTCACATCCTCCCAGGGCTCCAGGATATGGGGCGGGTAAGCCCCCTCCCTGCTCTACCCTGGCCCCCTTCCGCGCCCCACCCCCACAAACTGACACGCTGTACACACAAGTGCACCATCCCTACCCGCGAGGGTCCGTTTCCAGGCCCCCACCCACGCTCTGTGTGCGTGCACGGGGTCAGTGAGGGAGTGATCCGGCCCCTGCAGGAGTGTCCAGCCGTGCCCCCTCCACAAGGCCCAGCCCCTGCCAGGCTCACCTGAACAGGGGCTCTCCTTCAGAGCTGCCCAGACTCCGGGGGCCTGCCCGCCCCCAGAAGCTGCACTGCAGGGTCTGAAGGCCCCCAGAGATGCACGGGGCCCCCACACCTGCCTCCATGGCCTGAGCGGGCTGCTCTGGAGAGCGGCCCCTGCCAGCGCCAGCAGCGGGCGGGGAGGGGGCTTCCGGAGGCCCTGGCTGGGAAGGGTCTGGGCACGGGGCAGGGCAGCAGAGCCGGCCTGGGGAGGACAGAAGCTGCCTTGTTCCCAGCACGGGCCAGCCGTTGGCCCGTGATGTGCCCCGCCTTTCCTCAGCTCGCAGAAGGGGACAAGAGCGGCACAACCTGGACTAGCCATGCCCCCGTGGGAGCCTTTCCAGAAGCCCAGCCCAGCCTCGCCCCCACTTGCTGCTGGCTTCCTCAGGGGGGCCTCGCAGGGCCAGGGGCTCCAAGCAGAGCTGCCCACCTTCAGGAAAACCCCACCCAAAGGGTCGATACCGTCCTGTGCATCCTGGGGCAGGATGGGGGACGAAGGAGGCGCCCTCCTCCACCCCACCCCCTTCAGCCACAGCACTCCAAAACGAAGGTGGTTGGGGGTCCCAGAAGGCTTTGCGCCTTCACTCCTGTCCTCACCCGAGTGGGAGCGACATGTGCCCCCTGTTTCCCAGAACAGGGCAAGCTCAGAAACTCCCAGCATTAGGCATGGAAACCCTGCAGCCCCTCCACACAGCCCACAGCCTCTTCCCTAGCCGCCTCCTCAGGAGGCCTGACGGGCTCTGGAGGCTGGGGCAGGGTGGGCAGGCACCCCTGGGGAACACGGCCATGAAGGGATTGGGGCCAAAACTCAAAGAACCATAGGTTGGGGTCCGTGCAGGCAGGGAGGGGGCAGCTAGCTCCCCGCTTGGAGCCTGCCCCGCACCCACCTACTGCCCCCGGGAAGCCAGTTCAGGGTGCCCTCCCTGGGCCCCACACTTTTTATCCATTTTTTGCTTTGCAAGGAACATTCTGTCCCCACATGCCCCTGTGTGCCTCACGATGTGGACCTGTGTGGGGTGACCCGCAGCCCGTGAATGAGGTCATTACAGCTGCCTTGGCCCACCCCCAGCTTAGCACCCTGAGCCTCTCTGGCTCATGCAGCCTCCGCTTCCCGCCCCCGGGGCCCAGCCCTCAGCCCGGAGCAGGAGGATCACGGAGACAGGGGCGGTGAGTGGCCCTCTCCTCGTCTTCCCCATCCCCACGGTGTCACAGGGTGATAAGCCAGGGGCGCTCAGGCTGAGTACAGGCCCTCATTGCCGCAGAGACAACAAAGCACTGGCCTGAAGACCTCACGTTCCGGCCACACTTTTGTCCACACTGTCCCTGCCCCTGAATGCCTTTCTACCCCTTACTTTCCAATCTCCCAGTTCCTGAGCTGACCCCAGGGAAATAGGACCGTCTGTCTGTGCCCTGAGCACCCTGGACCCCCTGCCCCCATCTGGGTGCTCCAGAGCAGGGCCAAGAAGGGGGTGCCCGTGCAGACGCCCCCGCGGCTGGGGGCGGACCACCCTCACTGGGCAGCTCTGTCCAAAATTCTCCCGCTGACCTTCTGGTCAACTGCACCCAGAAGCCCAGGCACAAGCCCATGCCCCACACACCCCGGGGGGCCTCCTACCAGACCCCTGCCCACCCAGCCTGGGAACTCACCTTGGGCCTCGTAACCAGCCAGGTCTGGCTTCTCGGTGGCCGCAGGACTGGGCATCCGGCCCAGCAGCAGCTGGAGCTGCGCCACGTTCATGCGGGCCGTGAGCTCCCCGCTGCGGTCCCCAACCTGCAGCCGAGCGGGGCCCAGTTAGTGCGCAGGTGAGCGGGGAGGCTCCAGTGGACCGTCGCTGAGCCCTGCGCCTCCAAGGGAACCATGCCTCACTGTGCCTCAGGGATGGAGTCTGGGGGTTTTGGCCCTGGGTAAGGGGGGGCCATGTGGGCCCTAAGCAGCACCTCCATACCCCAGGAATGCCCGGGCCTCAGGCAGCCAGCCCTGTGCCATGTGGGGCACTCCTGCCAGAGCGCCCTTCAAGGGCAGGTGGCCTGCCCCAGACCCCACCTTTCTCAGTCCCGGAGCTTCCCAAGCACCCCTCAGGCCCCTCAGGCCCCCTCCAGGGTCCCAGGTCAGAGCAGAGGATGGCCCTGCTGCATAGGAGGAGAGTACACCGCCCGAGAACAAGCCCGAACACGGTGAGTGGGCCATGGCCAGACCTCGAGTGGAGCCCTGGGGCCACTGGTGGGCCCCCACCTATGCTCAGGGGGCCATGGGGGCCGGCCCTGCTGGGGTGGGCTCTCCTGACCCAAGCTTCCCTGTTCCCCACCACCTGGGCTCCTATGGATCTTGCCAATAGCAGGCATGGGGCTGTGATGGGTCTGGGTGGGCACTGGGTGCGTGCTGGGGGATGTGGCCATGTCACTGGGGCCGAGGAGGATGGGACTGAGAGAAGGGGGCAGGCTAGGCACCAGGAAGCCAGAGGCCACCTGGGACGACCCGACCATAGTAGGAGGGTCCTGGGTCCAAGGTCCCTTGAAGACCCTGCCTCCCATCCTCAGAAGGGTGTCCAGCTGGGGGGTCCCAGGGGAAGAGCCTGGGGGCGGTCATGCCTTTGTTCCCCTGGGCTGCCTGTGGCACGTCATTTCCACCTTGGCCTGGCCAGGTCCCATCAGGGATATAGGACCCGGGCGTGGGTGGGCCCACAGGGAGTGATGACATTCTAGGCGTGGAACACAGGCCCCCTGCTCCCCTCCCCCCACGCCCTGACTGCAGAGATAAGCACCCACCGGCCTCTGAAGGCTCGCCCAGCACATGACAGCCCGGGAGGGGTGGGGGAATGTCCAGCCAGGAGCCACGGCACACAGAGGAGCCTGGTCCCAGGTGGGCCGGGCACTGGGGGGCCTCTGAGGCCAGCTAAGGCAGCCGTGGGGGACAGGTGGCAGGGGAGGCAGGGCAGGCCAGGCTCACCTCCTGGGAGATCTCCAGGTGTTTCTTGGCAAAAGTCAAGGCCTGTGCGGGGCTCCCCATGGACACGTAGGCATTCCCCAAACTCCAGCACGCCCGGCCCTCGCCCACTCTGCCAGGACGGGAAACAGGTCACAGGTACAGCCCGTGGCCTGCCGGGCCTCGCTGGACCCCTACAGGCCCATGAGGCTCTCACCCCCATGGCTCCCTTCATCCTTGAGGACAGGGACAGGGGCACTCCCCAAGTCATTAATCTTTCAATTAAGGTGAAAAATCATACAAGGTAAAGGCAACCCCCTCAGGGCCAGCCCAGGGGCTCCGTGCACCTAACAATCCATAGCCATCACCATCCGGTTCCAAAACGTCGTCCCCCCAGGAGCAAGAGCTGGCCACTTGGAGCCCCCGGACAGGGCAGCCGGCCAAGAGCCCTCTCCTCCCCGAAAGAGGCACGCAGCCCACGGCTCAGAGGCCCCTACCCCGGCCGCCGCCCACACCTGTGCGTGTGTTCAGACTTCTGTGTCTCCTCGGAGACACGGGGTGCTCAAGGGCCATGGACGGACGTGGTGACGAGGGCCCACCCCCAACCAGCCCGCCCCCAGGGTTGCCACAGTAGTTGGCCCAGCGCCCACCGGGTCTCACCGAGTCCTACTTGGAGCATGGCGGGGCCCGCGACGGAGGGAGGCTGAGGCCAGGCAGGGCTCAGAGTCTCCTGGCGGTCAGCGGTAGGCCAGGGCCTCGCTGGAAGCAGCTTGCAGCTTAGCCCATGAGAACCGGCCAGAATCCCCCGGGGCCGGGCCTGCCCCCAGCGTCCCCATGGCCCCAAAGTGCCCGCCCCGCACACCTGTCGGCCAGCTCCTGGGCGATGAGCAGGTGCCGGAGGTGGTACTCGGCCGCGCGCTCGTAGTCCTGCAGCAGCGTGTACGTGTTGCCCAGGCTGTAACAGGCCTGCGCCTCCACTGCCTGGTCCTTGAGCTGCCTCGAGAGCTGCAGCGTCTTCCTGAGGAGGGCGCAGGTGTCAGCCCCAGGGAGGAGGGTTTCCAGCACCCCCCTTTGCTGGGGGGCCCCCATCTGCGGGGTGGACAGTGGGCGATAGGGATGCAGTCCATCTGCTCAGTGCCCTCAGCTCCAGGGTCCCACGGGGGTCTCCAGAGAGGACTAGGGGCAGCACACCCCAGCTCAGGGTCCTGACTCAGGATGTCAGGGCTCGGCACGGGACCCGGGGCTGGTGACCCGGACTCTGTGACTCAGGCTAGGAGGTGGACGGCTTGCAGAGCCTCCCAGCACAAGCCAGGGACGCCCAGGAGCCCCCGTGATCTTTACCCTCTGAGTCCCTACGAGACAGATTGCACCTGCGCCCTAGGGGCATCGTGGGGGGCAAAGGCAGCTCCGGGGTTCCACCGACAGCGGGAGCCAGGAGGCCCTCCGCCAAGGCCGGCTGCGTCCCTGGCACACGGTGATTTCCGCCGGCACTTACCGAGTGAAGGTCGTTCTTTCCGTCCCTAGCAGCCCCCAGACGAGGGCTTTGCTAGGCCACCCTTCTGGGGTGGCCCAGAACCCCCCACCTGGCCCCTGGGAAGGCTGGGAGGTCAGGCTCACCTCTGACCTTGGGCTGGTGTCCAGGTGGCCCCCCTCCCCCTGGCTGGGCTGGGCAGGTGGGGGCGGGCGGGCAGGCCTGCCTACTTGTAGTACTCAGCAGCCACGTCAAAGCGCCCCAGGAAGATGTGGGCGTTCCCCAGGTTGCTGTAGGCCCTCCTCTCAGCCGCCTTGTCTCCAAATTCCTTAGCAATGGCCAGGCGCTGAGGACACAGACCCAAGGCCCGGGTGGTCACCCAGCAGCCCTGGGACCTGAGGCGGACAGCAGACATAGCCTACACACCCAGGGCGGCCAGGCCAATGTCTGCACGTGCAGAGGGGTCCGCCCAGGTCCCTGTACTGAGCACCGACGAAGCCGGGTGGCTGGGGGAGCCCCGCAGTGCACTCACCTCCTTGTGGAAGGCTGTGGCCTCCATGAAGCTCCCCAGCAGGTAGTGGGTGTTGCCTAGGTTGCCATAGGCCCTGCCCTGGGCCGCCCGGTCGCCCAGCTCCTTCACCAGGGACAGATTCCTCCTGGGGGTCGCGTCTGTCTGAGCCACGTCCCTCTCAGTGCATGGGAAACAGGGGCCCTGTGACATCCCCACCCGACCAGGCTAGAGGGCGATGAGCAGGCAGCCTCTGCTTGGCTCCTCCCAGGAGCGCGCCCCAGCGGGCGCCGTGTGAGCTCCAAGGCCGAGTCGGGGCTCATCTGCCCCAGGCTTCTCCCATGCACAGACGCTCGGCCCCACACCCCTGGCCTTCTTGCAGCCAAATGTTTTCTAAATGCCACACGTGGCTTCTCCGCACCGCTGTGGATGACTGACGTGTGGGGAGATACCGGGGGCTGGGGTGGAGCCCCTCCAGACCCTGAGCACAGGTGCAGTGGGGGGTGGGGAAGGAGAGCTGACCAGGCTATCGCCATGCAGGGGTCTGTGGAGAGCCGATGGGGCCAGATAGGGGCGCCTGCCACGCCCCGTGACCAGCAGCAGGTCGTCAGGAAGCGCGAGGGAAAGTGTGGACACCCGGCGGCTCACCGGCTCTGCGGGCGCCCCTGCCCACCCCACTCACTCATAGAACTCGGAGGCTCTGCGCAGGGGCTCCCGGACGTCCGGTGGCAGGTGCCCGGGGTCCTGTGCGGCAGTCCAGGACAGCTGCTTGCCCTTGGCATGGTACACGTTGCCGATGTTGTACAGCGCCCTCGCCTCCCCAACCTGAGGGTGGCACTGAGGTTGGGGGACCTCTGTAGACCGGGCCCCCAAGAAGCCTACTGTCCCCGATCCCTATATCCCCTGAGGCAAGGACCTGGAGGGGGCGATCACCACATCCAGACGCTAAGGTAGGGCCGGAGCCCCAAGAAGGGCTGGGGGGCCTCGCGTGTGACGACTGCTCTCTGAGGACACCCCAAGTGACTGAGTCACAGGGGGGGGGTGGCCATGCCTGGTAATGGGCACCCCTCTTGTCTCTGCTGCCCAGGGGGAGGAAGGGCCTCCCAGCAAGGCCTGGCCCCCTTGAGCTGTGACTTGGGGTGAGTCACCCTATTTCCTTATCTGTGCTGATCTCACAGGGTCACAGAGGGAGGTCACAGAGCAGGACAGTCAAGTGTCCGCACCGGGCTGGGCCCACAGCTTCCCCATTCCCCCTGCTGCCACGTGGCCACATCTCCCTCTGGAGCCCAGAGCGGGGAGGTCGGTGAGAGGAAGAGCTGACATGGATGTTGGGGGGCTGGGGCCTCTAGCTTGGGCAGCGGGCCAGGCCATCCTCCCATCTTCCTCCCACGGGGGACAGCGTGGGACCACAGGTCGGGGGTGCTGGCCTCCCAGGGAGCCACCGACTGACCTTGTCCCCCTGCTCTTGGGCGATGTCCAGGTGCCTCTGGCAGCAGACGACGGCCTCGTCAAAGCGGCCCAGGACCTTCAGTGTGTTGCCCAGGTTCCCACTGGCCTTGGCCTCCCCCATGCGGTCCCCAATGGTCCTAGAGGGCAGTGGGGAGTGAGCAGCCAGGCTCACTGAGGGCTCCAGACGCTGAGTCCAGCAGGGAGGCCGGGCAGGGGTGGGGCTGGCCTGGCAGGACCGGCCCTGAGCCGACTGGGGCAATGCTGGGCAGGGGTCCTGTGGCTGGCGGGCGAGGCCCCCTTGGGCAGCCCCCAGGGCGGGGAGTCCAGCTGGGGGTCACTTCTCTACGGGGCCCAGCCTGCAGCTGTCAGGGCCTGGGGGGCGCCGGATGGAGACCGAGAGAGCCGGGGAGAAGGGGGCACCTGGCAGTGTGAGTAACTTTCAACATGCTGGTGGGGCGCGGAGGACACCTGGGGCTCGCTGGCCGGGGAAGGGCCCGTGGGCATGGCTGGTGGGAGTCCTGGGGAGCTCCACTCCCTCTCAGGGGCCCCCGCTGCTGACTGCACATGCGAACGAGGGGCAGAGGGTGGGAGACAAGCAAGGGAGGTGTTCGGGGATGAGAGCAGCTCGAGCCAAGGCCCGGGGGCTGAGGGACGGTGGAGACGTGGGGAGCACAGGTGGTCGCCCCCGCCAGCCGACACACACACAGTCCCGGAGGCAGGCCCACAAGCGCGGACATACTCGGGAGAGCAGGCCACAGCCACGCCCACGGGCAGACAGACCGACCCAGTCCCGGTCCCCCGCGGGCTCCGCGCCGCCGAGCTCCCCGAGGCAGGCGCCCGTGCTCACCGCGCCAGCAGCAGGTCATGCCGGTGGTACTCCAGGGCCCGGGAGTACTCCTTCAGGTAGAAGTAGGCGTTGCCCAGCTGGCTGTAGATGGCACTCAGCGTCTTCAGGTCCTCGGTGCCCACCTGCACCGCCGCCTCAAAGAACGCTGCGCCTGCCTTGAAGTCCCCCGCCTTGCAGAGACGCTCCCCCTCCAGGGCGAGCTCCAGGCACGAGGCCTCCATCCTGGGCGGAGGGGAGGAAAGTCACAGCCTGCTTCTCACGCAGCCCTGCAGGGGACGCGGGCTCCCACCCTGTCGTCACGAGGACCACGAGGCCCTCCGACAGCGGGATCCACACTGCACATGTGCGTGCTGTGCCCGGGAGCAGGTGCCAGGGCCGGTGGCACGCCTATCCCCCAGCTGGCACACCTGTGCACCTCACCAAGGGTGTCTCACTGCCCGCCCCTCACTACCAGGGCTCAGGGGCTCCGGGCAAAGGCGTGAGTCTGTGACCACAGCAAGGCCTCAGGCCACGGCGGCCAAGCCCCAAACACAACCTCCCAAGAAGTCTCAGGCGCCCGGTGAGGGCTGCCCCAGAGCCACATCCCTCCTCCAAGGCGGCCTCGGCAGCCTGGGATGGGCCCTGAGTGTCACCAAGGACAACCGAGGCTCAAAGAGGTTTGGAGAGCTGGCCAAGGCCACATGGGCAGAACCGGACCCCCCCCTCGTCCTAGAGTACGCCCCCACCCTCCAAGGTCTCCATGGGGGGCTGCAGGCTCAGGCATCATCTGTTCTCACCTCCCATCCATGGGGGAGGCAGGGCTGCATCCGAGCCAAGGGTCAGCCAGCCCTGGAAGCCGAGGAGCGCTCAGCTGCCCCACGGCCACGACTGCCTGATGGACAGTGGCTCCCCCACCTCATGGCACTACTAGGGGAAGACAGGACAGGACCACGTCTTAGGATGAACCCGACCCCTGGAAACCGTTCCAGGTTTCTGGTCCATGAAGCAAGCCTGACCCCAAGGGTCCAGAGTTCCACATGACAACCTGGGCCCTGGCCAGAGGCTGCGCCAGCCCCTCCTCCCCTGACCTTTGGGCGGGGGCTTCAGAGAAACAGGGCCCTTCTCGGCCCCTAAGGTGGGGTCTGGGCCCCCCAGCTGCTAGCCTGGGCCCTGCGGTCCCTGGGCCTTAGACCACCTATCACGGGAGCCTCATATGTGGGGCCACTCAGTCAGGCCGGCCCTGGTTCGGGCCCTCCCAGCTGTGGGGTCCTGGGAGGCCACATCACCACTCAGAGCCTTGGTTTCCTCCTCTATCCTCTTCTGGCTGGTCCCGTGGGTTCCCGGCTCAAGGCCTGGCCCGTGGCCCTGCCCTTGGGTGGGAGAGTGGGGCCCCAAGCTGGAGGGCACCCTGGCAGGTGACCGCACATGCAGCCCTGGAAAAGTGGGGGGCACGTTCCGCACGGCCGAGGGCCAACCCCGACCACCCGGGTCCGGGTCTGTGGAAAGCCTATGGGTAACTGAAAATGTTCACACCAAACAGCCCACGTGGCCCAGGTCACCTGCCCCTCAGCTTTGTTGGGTCACGCAGTGATCAGCAGTTACTGGTGGGGGAGCACACGGCTCCCTTCAACCAACCAACAAATCTGTCTACGGCAGTGCTTCTCCACCGTTTGACCAAACCCCCTTCGATACAAACCGCGGTGCCCTGCCCACTTCACCTCTGCATCGTCAGGAAAACACGCATTTTCAACGTTTCCAACAGCACCGCTTACCAAGAGGCAGGGGTGCACCTGTGCCCTGAGACGCTGGGCCCAGCACCCCACACCCCATGGGCTCAGAGCTCTCTGCTGGGAAGCCCCCCACCTTCACAGCACTGTTTGCCCAGCCTCGACCCCCCAGCATCAGGGCCACTCCTCCCGGGAGGGCTGGGCTCTGGGACCTGGCACCGCCTTGCCTGCACCAGGTTCTAGCCGAGCCTGGGGGGTCCCTCCGAGAGCCGGGGGTCAGAGCTTTGGCCTCATACCCACCCCGCTCTGGGAAGGCCCATCCAGATGCCACGCTGCAGAAGCCCCCCAGTGGCCTACCCCCGTAACCACTGCCACTCGTGGAGCTCCTTAATCTAGGCCTGCCAGGCCTCACCCAGCTGGGCACCAGGCCATGTGACACCGTGGGCCAACCTCTCCTCCCAGGGGACTTAGCAGCCTCGGGGCTATGACGCTGCCATGTCCGGACCAAGCTCACCCTGCTGGCTCTGACTGGGTCGACAGTGGGGAGAGGGTGGACGGCTGCCCCCAACCCCCGGGCCTGCCTGGACACCACGGTGAAGGAGGATTCTGGTGCAGGAAGGGCTTGGGGCCCAAAAAAGCAGGAGGTGGGGGGTCCACAGAGGGGTGTCGGGCGTGGCCACCCTGAGTCCCAGACTGGCCAGTCTGACCCTGGCTCCAGGATCGTGAGGACGATCCTCGACAGGCCCTGGACAGGCCGCAGGCAGGGAGTCCGGGCTGGAAGCCCCACCCCTTCTACTGAGCCCGAGAGCCCCCCACGGCCCCTTGACCTCCAGCACCCACCCCCCTGCCCCCGTCACCACCCAGCACACCTCTTCCTCCGCAGGTTACGCATCTTCTGCACGTAGAGCCACAGCTCCAGGCCCACAGGCAGCAGCAGGGGGTGGGGCCGCGGGGCACCGTACACCACCTTGCACACGGCCTTCTCTGCCAGGCTCAAGGCCACAGGCTGGCCCTCGGTGGAGGCGGCCGGCATGGCGGGGCTCCAGGCCTCCCTCCTGGCCCACCAGCTCCCGGCCCACCTTGGTTGCCAGTCCCGGGAATGCCCCGGCCTCGTGGTCCCCCTGCCTCCACCCACCCCAGAGCAGTGGGCCGAAGGCTCTGGCGTCCCGAGTTCCAGGAGACCCCAGGTCCTCAGGCAGGCTGTCCAGGGCCTCCCGGGGACTGAGGGGGATCAAGGGATCAGGACAGCTCAGAGCTGGGGATCAGCACTGTCAGCAGGCAGGGCAGGGCCCAGGCGGGGGAGAGGCCTTCTCTGCCAGGCCACTTGCCCAGCTCAGCAACGGGCATGGGGATGGCAGAGGGCTCCAAGGCTGTGCAGCTCTGGACCATGGGAACAGGAAGGGGGTGCAGCTCTGGGGTGCCCTCTGACCCCAAAAGTACCTGGAGTCAGAGCACACGGAGAAACCGAGAACAAGAGGGAGGGTGGGAGGCCCAGGGCAAAGACCAGCCCAGGTACAGGATCTCAAGGCCAGCACCGGCCCTGGGGGCCCTGTTCACTCGGCGGTGGGGGCTGGTGAGGCTGAGTCTCCGGAGGGCCCGGGGCAAGTGAGGACAGGGATGGGGGGATCTGGTCCCAGGCTGCCTGCCACGCCAGGTCCTGCTTCCCAGAGTGTCCAGACTGAGTAGCCCCCGACACTAAGGCTTCTGCCAATACCCCCATCCACCCCCCCAGACCACTCAGCTGACAGGTACAGGGCGGGCCTGGGTCACCGCGTTTTCACACGGCTCCTGTTAACGAACTAGCGCTCCAAACCCTCAGATCAACCCCAGGCCCCCTACTCTGCTTCCCAGGGCCCGCCTGAAGGACAGGCTACCCTCCCCTGTCTTCCCTGAGACCCACCCAGGCTAGCCAGGCCCACATCCCTGCTCAGGGAAGATTCCGGAGCCTCTGTCCCGACACCACCTCTGCAGGCCTGTGGGTGTTTGCCCCGTCACCTGGCATGTGCCCGCTGACACAAGTGACGGACCGGTCTGCAGCCGCACTGGGCTGCCCACTCTAGCACCAGTCTGTGGAGTGGGCCTTCCTGCCTTCTAGCCACACGCCCTCCCTGCAGGATGCCCGGGGCCTGTCCACCCACAGGCTACCAGGAGTCCCACTTTTGGGGTACGAGAGCCCCTGCAGCTCTGGGCTGGGCTGACCAGAGTTCGCAGAGCTCCCCAGGGCTGTGGCCACAGCTCCCCGGCAGCCTCTCCTTTCCCTGGGAGAGACGGCCTTCCCACTTGGGATGTGTCGCCCTTCCTTGCAAGGGCCCACCAGGCCGGCTTGCCCAGAGGCCGGACCACAGTGGCCGGGAGGAAGGACACCGTCTGCCAAGCTCCTGCCACCCACCTGCAGGCTTACCGGTTAATAAAATGGTGACGGACTCCTCAGTGGCCAACCTTACTCTTTGGCCACATCACGCCCACACCCTTCCAGCCCCGCCTTGGCACCCAAGATCGCACCCCGCAGAAGCCATCAGCCCAGCCTCACTCGGACCAAACTGCTGCGCTCTCCACCAGGCTCCTGCCCTCACCCACCTGTCCCACCAGCCTCTTCGGGGTCCTCCGGGGCAGACACCATGGCTGGTCTCCAAGCCAGGCCCCCAGCTCCCACCGCACAGGGTTAGCTGGGGGCTGTGTCCCCCTTTCCTCCATTCTCTGCTAAACGCAGTCACTGACCTCCCTCTCCAGGGATGTCTGCCCCAGTCTGGGCCACCAAGCTGATGGGCCAGGGCCCCCGCTCACCCCATCCCGCTGCCCCCAAAAGCAAAGCCATTGGGACAGCACAGGGCAGGGAGCATGGTGGGAACAGGAATTGCTGGTGGAGAACACGTGTGTCACCTAGCTTGGGAAAGCGCTGGGGGTTGTGTTTCTAGTGAGCCCAGGGGCCAGGCCATTAGCCTGCAGATGTCCTGCCACTGCCGGTGCCTGGGATACAGTGGAAGGAGCCATAGTGGAGACGGGTAGGTGGCAGGAGGCCATCCCACTCCTGAGGATGGCCCTGTCTGGCCACCTTATGCTTGGGACCCACGTCTGACAGGGCTCCCCACGGTGCGGGTGCTCACCACTCCGCCAGGGCCTCCCCACTTTCAGGGACCTCCTGGCCACCTGCCCCTCCCCTGAACCCTTCTCTCCCAGGCCCATCAGCCCCTCCCTCCCCAACCCCTTCTCCAGGGAGGAGACCCTGCCTCCCCAACACCGTCCCCTCCCCAGGGCCCCATCTGGGGACTTGTTGGGCCCATGGGCACACTCACGCCCCTCTCTGTGCGCATTCCGAGGCCAAGTCCCCCAGACCCCATGTCACCAGGCAGGAATTTGGCACGGGAAGGGAGCTGCTGGGGGAGGGCTAGGCCCGGCCCAGAGGTTCGCCCGGACGACTGTCTGCAGAGTGGTTAAACCAAATGGCCGCTCATGGCCCCCTCAGCTGCCCTGCCATAGGTGGGCTTGCTGGCCTGAGTATCCAGGGGGTGGACAACCTCCTGACGCCTTCCCCCAGCCCAGAGGAAGCTCCTCCCTCCTCTCCAGCTAACAGCCCCCACCCATCCAGGATGCTCCCGCACACGCTCCCCAACTCCCACCCCTGCCTGCCAGCCTCCGAAAGCCACCACTGAGCGGGACCCGCCCTGCCCACAGCTGGCTGTGGGTACCCAAACACCCCTGTGAGGGGTGTCTGCACAGGCCCACAGGAGGGCTTGCGGCAGCACACCCCAAGTCTGTGCTCGGCCTACCCCTTTGAGCTCAACTCAGCTCTCGGCTGGCAAGGATGCCTGGCTGGGCTCAGGGCCTCTGCCAGCGTCCCCTCTTAGCTCTGTCCCTGCCAAGGACGGCTCCCCCCGGCCAGGGTCCTGCCTGGCGTGTTACTGCTGGGCCCCAGCACCGGCCCACACCCCCGACTGCCAAGTCAAGACTGTGGATGTGGACCAACACGAAAGGGACCCCAGGCTCAGCTGTGCAGGGGATCCTCTAGGGTGGGCCTCCAGTGTCAGCTGCCAGGAAACCCACCCGCACACCCCTCCCCCTACATGGGGCCCAGGAGCCAGTCCGGGGGGCTTAGCACTCAATCCTGGGACCACACAATGGCAGCTGTGTCTGACCAGTGGCACAGGGACCAAGGTGGGAGGAGCGGCAGGCGTCCTTTTCACTCACCACCAGGGCCTCATTCTGCACTTTGTGGGGGGGCAAGGAGGGGGGGCACACAAAACGGGTTTGCTGCTGACGCACTGGCCAGCTGGGGCTGGAGAATCCTCTTGGGCAAGGCTGGGCCCCTCGAAGGCCCAGCATCTGGGGAGGCCGCCAGGTCCTAGGAATGATGGTGTCCGTCCAAGTCCAAGCTGGGGACCTGTCAGGCGCCCTGGAGGCAGACAGTCCACCCCCTGCCTGGCACTTGTGCCGACTGTACTGGGCCCCCAGCATCCCTGGCAGAGTCCATCCCCCTGGGAGGACCTGGTGCCCACGTGCTTGGGCACCTGGCATTGCCGTGCAGGACGCCCTGGCCCGGGGTCAGCAGGCAGGGACGCCCGCAGGTGTCAGCTCAGAAAGCGCGGGCCGCCAGCCTCCATGCAGGGGCCCGGAGGCTGGAGCCTTCTCAGGCAGACACGCACCCCACCCAGCTGGCTGGCTCTGCAGCTTGGATTCCAGCCTGTGGTCCCCTGAACCCAGATTCATGGTGGGGCTGGGGGGACAAAGCCGGGTTCCTTCAGCCATGCTGCCTCCAGAGAACCCAAACTGCAGTCGTGGGGAGGTGGTGCCAGGCTTGGGAGGGAGCTCCTGGCGGGCCCCCGCCACACACCTGCTGGGCCAGGTGGCCCAGCTGTCAGGAGCGCAGCTGGGAAGCTGAGGGTCTCCCTCCCACTGTCCCAGGGCAGGGCGTGGGGGGGCAGTCCAGCAAGCAGCAGCCCACCCCAGCGCACGGACCATCTTGACCACTGGCTAATTCTGGCCCCCAAAGGGCACCAGCCCTGGGAGGCCTGCGGCCCCCACCCTCAGTGCCCCCCCATCCCTGCATGTCCTCCCCCCCACGCCCCCCACCCTTGCGGGCACCTCCCCCACCAGGGGTGTCCCCTTCCTCTGCATCCCCTCCTTCACCCCGGGTGCCCCCTACCCCAGCACCCCGTCCTCCCCAGTCCCCGCCCCCGCGGGAGCCCCCCACCCCTCCACCCCTCCTCCCCCGCGCCTCCATCGCCGGCAGCCCGCAGGGAGGGCGCGTCGCCGCCACGTTGCGCGCCCACCGCAGCCTTTGTTCCGGGCCTCCCGCCTCCTGCCGCGGGTCCCCGCGCGTCCCCGCTCGTCCCCGCAGGCCCCCGCCGGTCCGCCCAGCCTACCTGGAGTAGAGGCGCCGAGCCGGGCCGGGCAGCTCGTCGGCGGCGGGCGGGGCCGGGCCGGCCATGGGGCTGGGGTCGCCGAGGGCCGGGGGCGCACGCCCCCCCCACCCCGCTCGCGCCGCCCTGCGCCTGTCCCCGTCCGCTGTCCGCCGCCCACCGTCCACCGTCAGTCCGTCCCTCCGTTGGTCTGTCCGCCCGCCCGCGGGAGGCGCCGAGGAAGTGATGCGCGCGGGGCGCCGCCCCTCCCGCCGTGGCCGTGATGTCACCGCCGCCCGCGAGGGGAGGGGGCGCGGACTGAGCCGCGGGTCCCTCCCCCCGCGCGCGGCCCCGGGGAGGGGGCGGGGCCTTTGAGCAAGAGCGTTCCTGCCCCCCAGGACCCCCTCTCTCCGCAGCTCGGGGCTAGCGGGGGCACGGGGGCAGGGGCCTGGCTCTGGGCTCGGCCCCTGGGCCCCAGGGTTCTTCTGGGACCCGCGGGGCGCCTGGGTGTCCCTGCAGCCCTGCCGGCCTCCCCACCCCCACGCGGGGGGCGTTTGAGGCCTCCTTGCCTTTATTTGGCAGGCGGCCAGCCCCCCTTGGTAGTCCCCTGTCCCCCTCATGTCCAGCTCCAACATGCCCACCCCCTTCTCAACTGGCAGTGGGTGCTGGCCCTGCGGTGACCCTCTGCCTGCCTTAGAGACAGCTGGGGAGCTGATGGGAA